GATATTTGATTTTATTATTTCCAGTTTTACTGAGCTTAATAGATATGTAACATCATTTAAGGTATATAACATAATTATAACATAATTATTTATGCATATGGTACAAAATGATTATCACAAGAAGTTTGATGCTCATTGTTTCATAGTTACATCCCTTTATTTTTTTGGAAATAAGAACTTTTGTGGGGACTGGAGAGCTACTACAGCACTAGCCTTGCACACAACCAATCCAGGTTCAGTTCCCAGCATCCCATATGGTTCCCTGAGCACTTCCAGGAGTCATTCCTGAGTGCAGAGCTAGAAGAAACACCTGAGCATCACCAGATATGTCCCTAAAACGAAGGATGCGGTGAGAACTTTAGTGGCCAGAGAAAGAACAACCGGGAAGGCTTTGCTTTGCTTGTGACCAGCACAAGTTCCATCGTTGACACTCCAGATGGTTCCCCAAGCCTTGCCAGGAGTGATGCCTGAGCACAGAGCCAGAAGTAAACTCTGAGCACAGTTGGGTGTGGCCCCAAAACTCAAAACCTAAAAACAAACCAAAACAGGAACTTTAAATGCTGGGGCTGGAGAGAGTGCACGGCAGGTAAGGCACTTGCCTTGCAAGCTGCTGACCTGGGTTCAGTCCTCAGCACCCCATGTGGTCTCCCAAGCTCCATCAGAGGTGATCCCTTAGTGCAGAGTCAGGAGTAATCCCTGAGTACAGCTGCATATGGCCCCAAAAACAAAAAACAAAAATTAAAGCAAAGAAAAACTTTGACTGATCAAAGGTAACAGAACTGGGGAATTGGTTTACAGAACTGCACTGGTTTACAGAACTGCACCGTGGTGTGGGGCAGGGGAGATGAAGGGTCTTTGGGGCATTGGTGGAGGGAAGTAGGCACTCTCCTGGGCACTCTGGTGTTAGAATAATAGAATGGTGTATGTATGGAATGTACAGTTCTACCATACACTATCATGATTCACGAGGGTGTAAATCATAGTGTCTCAAAATAAATAAAATTTTTTTCTTTTTTTCTTTTTGGGTCACACCTGGCCATGCACAAGGGTTAGTCCTGGCCCTGCATTCAGGAGTTACTCCTGGCGGTGCTCAGGGGACCATATGGGATGCTGGGAGTCGAACCCAGGTCTCCACGTGCAGGGCAAATGCCCTACCCACTGTGCTATCCCTCCAGCCCAAAATAAATAAAATTTTTAACAGGACTTTTAAGAGTTTTGCTCTTAGCTCTCGAATATGTGTGTGTGTGTGTGTGTGTGTGTGTGTGTGTGTGTGTGTGTGTAGTATTTTTATACATACCGTGATGTATGTTACAGTGCTAGAACTTTATCTTATTACTGTTTCTCCTCTTCAGCTATCTCCACTCCTCGCTCTCTGCCTGCTTCCAGCATTCACATACCTGCTCTCTGATTTTGTGTCTATGTGTTCAGTTTTTTTCCAGATTCCACGTATAAGTGGTGACATTATAAAAAATTGGGTTTTTTTTCTGACTTCTCATAGCAGAGTGCCCCTGAAATCCCGCCACATTGTTAATAAGTAGCAAGATTTCCCTTGGTACAGCTGAATAATAATTATTCACTCACTTCTTGGTAGACACTTCGGTCTTCAAGGGCCCTGCAGCCTTCAGATGTCCTTTTTGGCTTTGTTTATGGGCCACACCTAGCTGTACTCAGGACTGACACCTGGCTCTGTCCTCATGGGTGACTCGGGGATGCTCAGGAGACCTTCCATGGTGCTGGGGATGGAATTTGGCATCCTGACTGCCGTCCTGCCTGACTGGCCCCAACTGTCTTAACTGTTCTTCGAGAGCTTTCCTGCCTTTTGACAGTGCTTGCTCTAGGTCGTCTGTCCCAGTGCTGCCGCAGCCACTTACACAATCCTTCACGGAACTTTGGATCCCATTTTAGAAAATGGCATCACAAGCAAGATTTGGGAGCTGGGCATGTTCATGCCACGGGGAGTAGAGGCGGTCAGAGCTTCCAGCCCTCAGTAGGCAGAATCACAGATGAAGGGGTGTATGTACATGTATGTATGTGGGAGGTGTGTGCGACTGCATGTGTGCACGCTTATGTACATATTCAGAGTTCACTGTAACTCCAGTTCCAATCTGCAGGGCCCATTCTAATCCTGTTTCCCTTTTTTCATTCCTGTCTGTTCTCTTACAATGCGAACTTGGATCTATTCTCTTGTGTTTGATGAATCCTCACATGTACCGAAGATCTCTAGTGCTGCCTCCACACCCTGCCACAGGGCCTCTCCACACCCTGCCATGGGGTACCTGCCTCACCCTGTCACGGGGGGCCCTCCTTACTATGCCACGGGGGTTCCTCCTCACCCTGCCACAGGGGGCCCTCCTCACCCTACGATGGGGTACCCACCTCACCCTGCCGCGGGGGGCCCTCCTCACTGTGCTGTGCTCTCTGCCTGCCCCTGCACTCAGTCTCCCAACATTCGCAGGCTGAGCTTTGTGTGTGGTTGGCTGGTCTCATTGTGTGTGTCTGTGTGAGTGTGAGTAGTGAGTGTGTGTGTGAGTGTGAGTGTCTGAGGTCTGTTTATATCTATGTATGAGTGTGTGTGTGTGTGTGTGTATCTTTGTGTATGTGCCTGAGTGTGTTTATGTATATATGAGTGTATGTATCTGTGTGTGTCTATATGTCTGTGCATGTGTGTGTGTGTGTGTGTGTGTGTGTGTGTGTGTGTGTGTGTGTTCTTCCCTGGACCCTCTAGGATTGTGAATTTCACTGACCTCCGTGTGCCTCCTTTTTGAACTCTTTTAGTTTGAGGTTTCATGTAACCTCTCATTCTGGGAAGTTTCCAGAACTTTATTTCTGCAAAGATTTCTCCTCCCCCCCCCCCCATATATTTTATATAAACTAGACATGCATAATTGATTTCTCTTATTTCTCTATGGAATACTTCTTAATTTATCTTTTCTGTATTTATCTCCCAATATCTTCATGGTAATGCCTTCAACCTGGTGTTTTAACCTGCAGTTTATTTGACGGTGTCCCCTCTGTACTTCCATCTATTCATTTATTAAGTTTCATTCAGTGGCTACATTTTTTCATACCCAATTTTCTGTTTGTTTTGTTTTTTGCTTTACGAGACATTTTCTTCCTAACATTCTCCCTTGCCAAATTAGTTCATTTAAAACTTTTCTTTGTTACCTGCTGTACGCCCTAAGCCTTGGGGATGTTAGTCCCCAGGCCCTGGGATCAGAGGCTCGCATATGCCTCTCCCAGTGGGTCTTGAGAGTGAAGGTTGGGAAGGGGCCCACGGGGACATCGCTGCACGGGAAACACCTTCTCTGGTTTTGCTATTTTCAAGGTGTTTCCTGACAGCCCCCCTGTTGTACAGAGGTTGAAAAGAAGGGGTTGGAATGGACCACCCACACATTCAGCATGCAGTGACCGCTTGGCCCACCCTCAGATTATGGGGCCCGCAGCCTCTGCAGGTTCTATACTCACTCATCCGTTTCCCTCCCCCGCAACTATAATTGCTTGTTCCAGACCGTGTGGAGAAAAAAATGTTTGTCAAGATAACGGACTGCCCCTGGCTCCCAGCTCTGCTTCTTCTTCCCAGCCCTTGTCTACTTCTGTCACTATTAACTGGGAGCAGGTTTCTCTGTATTGTCACTAGAATTTCTGTCTACATGTAAACACAGATGATGTTTTTTTTTCTGTTACTGTCCAGCAACTTGTTGTTTTTAAAATGACTTATTAGGATTGGAGAGGATAGTGCAGGGTTAAGGCACTTACCTTGTGTTGTCCTGAGTACTACTGGACCCCCAAACATGAGAGCTGGGGTAGCCCCCGAGCACCACCTCCCCCCCCCGAGAAAAAGGAAGGTAAAAAAAAATGCTTAACACATTTGAGGGTCAGAGAGATGGTACAGTGGGTAGGGTGCTTGTCTTGCTTGCAGCCTACCCGGATTTGATCTCTGGCAACCCTTATGTTCCTCCAGGCACCACCAAGAATGATCCCTGAGTGTAGAGCCAAAAGTAGGCACTAAGCATTGCTGGCTCTGCCCCCCAAAAAGAAGTTTATTATGTTTAATTGTATATATAGTTTTGATTCAATAAAATATAGCTTTAAAATTCATCTTTATTAATTTATCTCTCGCTATTCTGAGATTAGTGATAGCACAGCGGTAGGGCGTTTGCCTTGCACGCAGCCAACATGGCTGACCCGAGTTCGATTCCTCCGCCCCTCTCGGAGAGCCGGGCAAGCTACCGAGAGTATCTCACTCACACGGCAGAGCCTGGCAAGCTACCCATGATGTATTCGATATGCCAAACACAGTAACAACAAAGTCTCCAATGGAGACGTTACTGGGTCCGCTCGAGCAAATCGATGAACAACGGGAGGACAGTGACAGTATTCGGAGATACCCGGTTCTTTGAAATGGTTTTCTATTTAAGTATTATGTTACTGAAATTAATGCCCTTTGGATAAAGTGTTTTTCATACATTAGTCATTTTCTAGAATGAATGTGCAGACTGCATTGAATAGATAAATAGTTGAAAGGGTTAACATTTTGCAGGGCAGGTATTTGGGCCACACTGGACAATGCTCAGAGCTTGCTTCTGGCTCTGTGGTAGGAGTCACTCCTTACAGTGCTTGGGGGGACCAGGTGTTATAACTGGTATCAAATCGGGAGTTGATTATATTCGTAAAAATAAAAAATAAAAAACAACTCCTGTTAACTCTGTCTTGGCCCAGATCAGCACTTTGATACTTGATTTGTATGTAGCAGGTATTTAAACAATAGCTTTGGATGGAAGGGTATTATAGTAAATCATGTCCAATATCATAACCAGTTTTCATTCCCCGTGAGGGGTGAGAAGGTCTATTTCCCTACATCATCTTATGCTTATTTTGATGATTTAATTATATTTAGAAGACTTCTTTATCTTTCTTGAAAAGAAATGTCATCTGGTGATATAACAAGGTCTGTTTCTCTCTTTTACCCCTTGGATACATGGACATATGTTTTCTTACAGGACTGAATTTGCACTTAAAGAAATCATGTCCTCTGGAGGTGCTGAAGATGACATCCCCCAGGGAGAGAGGAAAACTGTGACAGATTTCTGTTATCTTCTGGATAAATCTAAGCAGCTGTTCAATGGGCTAAGGTTAGTGGACTCTTTTATTTTTAATTTTATTTTAATGAATCACTGTGTGATACAGTTGCAGACTTACAAACTTTTGTGATTATGTTTCAGTCGTACAATGTTTGAGTACCCATCCCTCCACTAGTGCCCATGCTCCACCACCAATGTTCCCAGTATCTTGCCCCCAACCCCCACTCCTTCCCACCCCCTGCCCCTGAAGCAGTCACATTCCCTCTTACTCGCTCTCTCTCCTTTTGGGTGTTATGGTTTGTAATGTAGGTACCAAGCGGCTGTCATTTTTGGTCCATAGTCTACTTCCAGCACGCATCTCCATGAACTCTTGAGATCATGAACCTTTTCCTGAGTCTGTCTTGTGCCCCAATTGACTATTACATAGTAAGTCTGAAAATTTTGGCTGGACTGTTACACACCAGCAGTAATCAGACTTGCTTCCTTTGACAGTTGTTTCTTTATTCTCAGATGAGGAAAATCATAGGAAGGGTCAATGAAGTCCGGTTTTGCTCCAGCTGTTAAGAGCTGGTTTGTGAAATGGTCTTGTGTGTGTGTGGCGGCACATCACACCTGATTGCCTTCAGTTTTCATGCACTGGGGGTGGCAGTTGCCAAGGTCACAGAGCTCTGTGCATGTGTCACCGTGGGCCTCGTTCCCGTCCCAGTCTCGGGCTCTTGTTGGTCTCTTTCCTTCTTTTTTCCTTTTCTTTAGATAAAATACCTTCTGCGGGCAAGCAAGGTAGCTCGAAGGTAGCTCTGAACGAGTGCTTTGCAAGCCTCGTGTGGTTCCCCGAGCACTGTGGGGGAGCTGCTATTGAGCACCCTGTGAGGAATAGCCCCCGAGCACTAGTACGTTGGGGCTCCCAAACCGAAGGAAATAAAAACGTGAAAGTCTTAGGATATTCAGGCTCACTTCAGACCTAAAGTCTCATTAACTTGATTCCAACCACCAATAAATGCGTGCCCTCGGTAAAAACATAAAAAACAAGCGGTGTTTGGGGGCTGCTGTGTTCTGTTTGTTCGCAGTGTCTGTGTTGAGTCCTTGGCTGCCCCATGACAGACAGAAAGTGTTCTGTCTGCGAGCGTGTCCCTGACCCTATTTGGAAATGTTATGTATGAGTAAGTGATTGGAAAGATAGTGAATTATTTTTGGTGTACAGTTTATTTCTGGGTAAGTATGCCATCTTTTCTTCTTCTTTATTTCCCCTTTTGGCTTCTTTGTTTTTTGTTGTTGGTTTTTTTTTTTGGACCACACTGACAGAGCTCAGGGTTTACTCTTGGCTCTGGGGTGCTGGGATCGAACCCTGGTTGGCCGTGTGCAGTGCAAGTGCCTTACCTGCTGTGCTCTCTCTCTCTCTCTCTAGCCCCACTTCTGTTGTGATAGCGACGCCTTCCCAGGTTAGACCTGTGTTGGCAGAATGTTATTTCCATCCTTTTTTCCTTCCTGTGGCATTTTTCTGTCTGGGTGCCAGGTATCAAACTTGGGGCCTCACCTGCGTGAGGTGTGTGCTCACTGACCGAGCCGCATCTCTCAGTGATCCCTCTATTAAAGACCATGCAAGCCACAAAATGACTTCTTCATGGCTGTCTGTGTAAAGCGGTGCCTCTCAGCCACTCTTACCCTCAAACTTATTTGCTTTATTCCTTAAAACTCGGCACTCTCTATGTGGGCATATTTATAGCTTTGAGACCTTCCTGTATTCAAATGAAATGGCCCTCCAGCCTGGCCCCTCTTGGTCCTTGATTGTCCAGTACCTGGGTGGGCCTCCTGCACGTCCAGACACTTCATAGCCTTCTACTAAATGAAGGCTTTCTCCAACCACTCAGAATTCTCTTTCCTCTTTTGTGCTACAGAAGAAATCTGTAGCTGGGTGTTCCCTGGGTGCTCAGCACTATGTTTCAGGCACCCACACTGAGTACAGACCGGCTGCATGCAGGTCCAAATATTAAGAAGGCATTTCAAAGTTTGCATGGAAATCCCTACTCTAACTTCTGGCTCAGGGTCTTCTGGTTTTCTTCTGAGTCTGAAGCGTAAGGAGGAGTGTATTTTCTGGGCTGGTTTGCTTAAATGGACATGCTTTGAGTTCCCATAGTGTGCAGGATTAGAGTTGGACACTGCTCTCATGTTCCCTGCCCTGGAAATGCTGTTCTTTCAGCATGGTATATGTACTTGGTACATTCCCTATTTTTAGAGAAGAATCAGGAGATATTTTGTTGTAGTAACCTCACCTCTCATTGCATTGGTTTGAATAGAAAATAGAATCCTGATGCTTATATAAAAGAAGCAGTGGGGGCGCTGGAGCAATAGCAGAGCAGGTAGGGCATTTGCCTTGCACACGGCCGACCTGGGTTCGACTCCCAGCATCCCCCGAGCACCACCAGGAATAATTCCTGAGTGCAGAGCAGGAATAACCCCCATGCATCACCAGGTGTGACCCAAAAAGAAAAAAAAAAAGGCAGCAGCAGCAGCCACAAGGGCCAGAGTGATAGGACCGCAGGTAAGGCTTCTGCCTTGCATGCAGTCAACTTAAGTTCAATCCCTGGCACCCATATGGTCCCCTGAGCACCGCCAGGTGTGATCCCTGAGCACAGAGCCAGGAATAAGCCCTGAACACTGCCAAGTGTGCCCTGCCTATCCCCACTCCACCACCACCCCCCCAAAAAAAAAGGAAAGAGAAGAAGCATATTGATCATGGTAATGAGAGAAGTGGAGTGACGAGAGCTCCTGTGGGAACAGGGCCAGCACATCCCACTAGACCTTTCTCTCCCTCATTTCTTTCACTGTTAGCGTGTCCCGTGAGTAGGTGTCCTCTGTGTTTTGCCTTTCTGTCCACTCACGGGGCATCACACTTCTCACTGCAGCATGTGTTCTAGCAGCACAGCCAGCCTGTCATAATCAGTGCCTCTTTCACACACAGCGCGTCCATGTGGCACAGGCCCCGTGGTAGAGAACAGAACAGAACACACAGTCCTGCAGCAGCTCCTTCCTCGCTCTTTAACTCTTCCCGAGCAGAATGAAAAACTGCATATTAGTGCACCAAAGGCTTCAGATTTTCTCTGAAATGCCTCATTTGGGTGTACTGCACCCTCTTGTTCTGGACGGGAGGTGGTCTCTCTACATTAAGCTGCTCCTCCGAGTGGTCAGAGCCTTTCCCCGTTTCCTAGCCAGCCGTCTCAATGGGTGTATTTCTTGACTGAAAATGCCTTCTTAGACTATGTGCATAATAAATAAGCTCTTCTTTCCATTCACTGTGTAAGAAAATATAGTCCAGAGAATGAGAACAGGATCAAGTGAATGGTGTTCCACTTATAACAGCTCTTGCATATAGTTAGAGTAGTAATGAAGTGAGAATAATGTTAGAAATAGCTTTGAATTCTGTCAGAAAATTATCAAAAGCCTGGTGCTTGCAGGGTTCTAGTTACCATGGTGACTAAGACTGTGGAAGCCAAATGGAATACTTGGTGGGATTACGTAAGGTGGCCTCTGGAGACACGGATTGGAGGCACACAGCTGTGCCCACCGCCCGACTCAGAACTTTTGGTGCTTTGGAACAACAGAGGCCTCCAAGGCACTAATTATTTGTCTCCATAGGAGAAAATACACAAAGCCAAGTGCATGTTGGAGGCCATGCATGTATATGGGCACCAAAAGTGAGGTGGGTGGCCTAAGGTAAAACTAACCACAAAAATCACTTTTGGACTGGGGCAGTGGTTCAGCAGGCTAGAGCTCATGACTGGCTGGGCCCCTGAGCACCATGGGGCCCGAGCAGTCTCCTGGGCTCAGCATTGACGGAGTATCGGACTGTCACATTCCAGGAGTTGGCCCCACGCCTCCTGAGCGTTCTTGGGACTCACCCCCTTCCCCAAATAGGAAAAAAAAAAAAAGAAAAGAATAAATTGCTGTATTAAATCTGCTCCAGATACTGAAATTGGAAAAAAAATACTTTGCAGTGTTTCCATTGAGATCCTCTATTTAATGTTCTTTTTCCTGAGCAGGAAAGGATAACCAAGAAATATAGCGTCTCCACCCCCCCTCTCCTGTTCCCTCTACCTCCTCCCTCTCCCTCCTGCCTCTCTTCTGCCTCATCTTCCTTTTTTTTTTTTTTCGCTTTTTTGGTCACACCTGGTGATGCTCAGGGGTATACTCCTGGCTCTGCACTCAGGAATCATTCCTGGCGGTTCTCAGGGGATCATATGGGATGCTGGGAATCGAACCTGGGTCCGCCGCGTGCAAGGCAAATGCCCTACCCGCTGTGCTATTGCTCCAGCCCGCCCCTCTTCCTTCTTAAAATAAATTTAAAAAAAAAAAGCTAATATTTTTCTGCCGGAAACCTGGAACCGGAAGGGGATAGATTATTTAGAGACTGTCAGTACTCCAAACCCAGCGGACAACTTGGGGGACCATGCTTGTATGTGAGGTCCCATGTCCCCAGGCTGCTCGCCCTTGTCCCCGGCATGTTGAAGAAACTCATGGCATAGAGACATTGATTAACAAAAATTTATAATGCTTTTAAGAGTTTTTCACAATACTTGACTTCAGCATGCAGTCGTAATATACACCTTTCCCATCCTTTGTCTGTACTCTGAAGAACACAGTATATTTTATACCGATGTGTGTGTAGTTCACATATGTTTCCTGTGCTTTTTAATCACTTAACTTCCCGGTAGTCGTCGATTTGCTTGAGCGGGCGCCAGTAACGTCTCCATTTGCCCCTGTCGCATGCTAGTGTAGCCCAATGGATCTGTTCGCTCCGGGAACATGAAGGGCCTCAAACTGATCGTTCATGATCTTGACGAAGAAGTCTGACCATCTGGAAGGTGGGCGGCCACGCGGTCTTTTGACATCCCGTGGAATCCAGTCGGTAACAGCTCTAGTCCAGCGGTCGTCTTTAAATCTCATTACGTGACCAGCCCATCTGATTTTCGACACCTTGGCAGATGAGACAGCGTCCCTGATCCTTGATCATCGACGGATGTCAGAACTCCGGATTCTCTCTCTCATTTGAGTGA